GAGCGCATCATTAATGTGGGGAATAGCCCATTGCCGGCAATTATTTTGATGTTCTAGAATTAGAATGAGAGTAGGGAGATATTCCGGAAAGCCCAACATCTTTGGTTGCGGCCTGATGAAAGTTGATTGATTGGCTTTTAATGCAAGGTACAGCAAGTGTGGCAACAATATATCTCCTGCTTTTTCTTGGAATACATGGACCAATAATAAGCTGTCTTCGTTTCTTTCTTTTGCTACGCAGACGACCCAAAAAGGGGTATTTACAAAACGAGCAAAAAAGCCAACCCATGTACAACTCAGTTAATTACCTCTCACATCCAACCTCTCTCTATCGCCGTGTTTTGTCTATTCCCGCTATAATATAGAGAAAAACCTCTCATATCCCCAACCCCCTCACACACCCCCAAAGCACAACCGGCACAACAACATTATCATTCCCCCCCGTCAACACCGCCTCCGTCAAGCTCGCCAGCACCGAACAAACCCCCATCCTCGGCGCCTTCTCCCTCCCCCACTCCCTATACAACCTCCCAACATCCAACACCCCCATCAAACTCTCATGCCCTCCACCACCACCACCACCACCACCACCACCTCCAGTCGTCACAGTCTCCCACCCCCCCAACCTCAACCACCCCCCTCCGACCCCCAACCCCAAAAACACCGCCCCCGCAAACGCCACACTCCCCTCAATACTCTTCCCCCCTCCCCAAAGCCACTTCCTATGCCCCCACCTCCTCCCAATCAAACTAGCAGCCGCATCTCCCAACCCAACACACACAACGCCGCTCACCATCGCCAGTTCCCTCTCCCTCACCTCCCACCCCCTAACATACCCCTCCCCCTCCCTCCCAAGACCAGCAAGCGACAGCCACAACGGAATAGCACAGCCAATCAGCAAAAAAATATGGCTAATCACCACCGGCCCCCTCAAATCCCTCCCATCCACATACGGAGTGAGGAATTTCGCAATCGGTCCCGACAAAGGCGGCAGCTGACTCGCTCTGATCAGGTCCAGAAGTAGAAATATCGCTAGCATGAGTGACAACGCCAAAGCGATGTACGTAGGGTCGATGTAAATCGTAGGCAAGAACATGGCCACCATCATAAAGTGAAACACCTTTCTTCTCGTGTCCACCTCGCAGACTGGTGATAGACTAAAGACTGTGGCGAGGCCGAACGCAATGATCGTCAGCCAGTAGCCGGAGAGGACAAGTCTCGTGTTGGCTTCTCCAAACGAAAACTGGCGGAGGTGTTGGATCCAGCCCGAGGAGCATTGGACGTCAGAAGGCTCGAGACGAAAAGGGAGGCAGATCCATTTTTCTAGGTCGTGCTGCACCACCTGGAAGCGGAACTGTGAGAGCCCGCCAAAGAGATAACCCAACGCCCAGCCTATCGGTTCGTTGCCGTCTAGGGCGTAGTACTGGACGTAGGTCCGGATGCCGAGGAAGATGATGAGGATGATGCTCGTGAGGACGTAGCTCGAGTACATCCACTTGCGTAGGGTGGCTTGCTTATGGGTGAGAGAAAAGAAGGCGCGCACGCTTGAGGACGCAGAACGTTTGCGGCGGCCGGACGGTGTGCTGCTTTTTGAGCGTGGGCCGGGCTTTCCCGTGGAAGGGAGAGTGTGCCTCCGAGGTACGCTTTGGCTAGCAGATGGCTTGGCAAAGCTGAGCTTGACAGCACTGGATGGAGCGTCAGGGGTTGGGGGGGGCACGACTTCGTTTTCGCTGAAGCTGTCTGCCCGGAGGGTGGTGGGCTTGGTGGTAAGCTCTCGATCTGTAGACTGAGCCGAGTCGGAGAACGTGTTCGTGAACTCCCCTGTAGACGATCGCTGCCGGCGGGCGTTTGGTGATGACAGCATCCGTTTTAGCTGCCCGAATCCAAAGCCCCCTTTCGACGGTATCTCGCTCCTCTTGAACCGCCACTTTGGTACACGGGCCAGAGAGATCCCCCATTGAATGACCTGACCGCTAAGAACCATGAGACCAATGCCGCCTCCCCATAAAACAGCCTGCAAAATAACTGCCTGGGGAGAGGTTGCTAGTAGTAGTAGGTTTATGAGTGCCACCGACAGCAGTTGGAGCTCGGCTACCAAGAGACTGGTCGTGGTAAGATGGTGCAAGATAAGACACAAAGTCTGGTGTAATGGATACAGCAAGACCAACACTTCAGCTGACATCTCGCCCTGCTGGGATCCTGGGGTTGTTGCCATGAGTCTGTCCAGAAACAGCGGAGCGCACGAGAACAGCCAGTGACTCGAGCTGAGGCTCTCCCAATACCGTGAACCCGGGAACAGAGCCCTGGGCAATGCTGCTATGCCGAGAACCAAATTTGGCAATACGACACCCTTCACATTTTGTGCCACCAAAAAGGATATTAGAACTGGCGTAAAGAATGGATAGAGAAGTGGTGCTGGATCGAACGTTGCCGGAACACGAATCGGCAAAGCCTTGGACGGCGTGCCACGACGGTAAGCCCATAGGGCCAGTCTCAGCGGATACAAAGCAGCTAATCCAAGCAGCATCGCTATTACAGCAAGAACTTCTGCGGCCACTCCGTTAGCCGGGTTACAATATCTGAATCTATTAGGGTACATACTCTTGCCGTATATCCTAACATAAGGTTGAGCGTCTGGGTTCAAAACCACGATGCCCCCTTGGAAGCCAAGCAACAACACTTCAGCTATTCTTCGTGTTACTTCCTTGCGCCGGCGCACTCTTTCTGCGGTGACCCTCTTTTCGCCATGGTTTATACCCAACGCCGTCTTCCTGCCCTCCTCCTCCAGAACTGCCGGCGAGAGCCAGGGCGTGGATGTTCCGGAAAGCGGTTCATTCTTTCCACGAAGGCCCTTATGTAGCCTTACTTTTGGTGCGGGCAGACCCTTGAGGAAATGTTCATCGTCGGCTTCGGTCCCGCTGTCGCTCGGTGGTGTTGAGTCCTTGCCAAGGGAGGGAAACGGCTCGTGGCTCGGAATCAGGCAATCTGACGGTTCTAATAGCTCGAAGCTCCGACGGTGGTAAGGATGAGGGGACCGAGAGAGGACCCTCAAGGTGTCGAGATCGTCGTCCGCATTTTCAGCGGCGGTTTGGTTTGGTGGGGGTTGCAACTGCTCAGGCATGGCCAATCTCGAAGAGCGATCTGGCGCAACATGGGGGTTTTGCAAGAGCTAGGCAGGTTCCGAAGCTGGATTAGATATTGTCCACAGTGTTGAAAACTGTCGTTGACATGTTTGGCCACCTGGTTAGTCTGCTGGCGCCGTTGACGTTGACGTTGGAGCGTTGTCAGGCGGTTATCACATGCCCGAAAGTAGCTAAGAGGTGTCCTGTCCGTCCCCTTGAACGCACGATGCAATTACTCCCTGGATCCCGGCGGGCCGTCAAGCCACTGATGACGGGACGGAGGTGGTCATAGCTTCAAGGGAATTTGACGCGCGATGTGGCTCAGGGGTGGCTTGTAGCTGTGTGTGGAGGGCTTTCAACGACATTCGATTCAAGACATTGCGCTCTGACTGAAGACAGTGTTTGATGAGATAAAGAATTGTGTTTCAGACATTTGAAACCACAGGCAAGGCTCTCTCTCGGCTGGTATCTGTGCTTCTTCAAGCATTGGCAAGTTCTCCTCAAGGCTTTGCTTGGATGGTGGGTAATGCTCTGTTTTTAGATGAATACGAGATGAGAGCCTGACACTAAAAAAGATAGCAACATTTGATCTCATCTCGTCAATATCAACACGACGGCAAAAGACACATCATTACTGGTATTTGTTTCCAAGCACAATCGATGTTGACTCTGACGATAGCGGAGGGCCTATGGTACCGGAAAAAGCTCGCATAAAATAATTCTCATGTCCATGGCGGCTGGGCGAACACCATGTCGGGATACTACAGTCTTTATCAATGACGTTGACGACTTTCCAGAATCCACAGTTAGGGTATAGTGTAATTAGCGCAGTTATTAACCAACTTTGTGTCCGTTACCGCCTTGGCTAGCCCAGTATCCGAAGTTGAAACATGTCGAACTCTGGATGACAGACGGCCGGATTTCCCACCTGTTTTGGGGACACGTGTGTACGCTCTTGGCAGCGGCTCATGAGGAGAAGAAAGCATGCGGTGAAACTGAAGCCTCTCTGGCAGTGTCTCTCGCCTGCCGCGTCAACACCTCCCATTTGCGAACTGGTGATTGTCGACAATCGAGGTGGCGCTAGTCCAGACTGCCAAGAGGTGGAACGGCACATCTTGCTCAGCTCGCTGCACCTCGATTCGGTGGGACAGCCCCGATCGTGAGCCCCCCACCAACCACTCCCGCTGAAGACGAGGAAAAAAACGAATGGCTGACAGAAGAGAAGGAGGCTGCAGTCCGAAGGCTGGAGTGGCATCCATCCCGAGCCTCAAATACCAACACGAGGTGAGATACTGACCCAATTGCCTGATCAGTCAGTCCTCTGTGAAGCTGTCGAGCCTTTGTGTCTTTTGTCCGGGCGGCCGGACTGGCGAGAAGGCTCTGTGACTCTGTCACTCTCTGTTCTCTTCTGGTTCTGTTCCAGGAGCTCCCTGCCAGGCTGTTCCCGCCCCTGTGGATGTTGGTGGGGACAATTCACACCCCTGCCAGTGCGGCGTCATCAAGGCTTCTGCGAGCTCCCTCTCTGCATTTCAGGAGCCGAACACCTCGATGGTTTTTGTGAACTTCTACCGTCGGATTTATATCCCCAACCAGCCCAATTGATTATTACCAAACATAACCGCCAACCACCCCCCCCCCTCCGCCCTTCTTTGTCCTGTTGCCACTGCCACGCACATCAGACTCTGCCACAGCGCCTTTCCAGCCAAGCTGAACATATCAAGCTTTCTGTCG